CGTTCTCGAAGTTGTTCAAAAATATGTGTACCTCGGGCAGACATTGCAGTTAGGTAGAAACAACTTTGAGGACGAGGTGAATAGAAGAATTCAGCTAGGTTGGGCAGCGTTTAGGAAGTTACGTCAAGTCCTGACATCGTCGATCCCACAGTGTCTAAAGACGAAAGTCTTCAATCAGTGCGTCCTACCTGTGATGACATACGGAGCCGAGACGTGGACACTGACGGTACGGCTGGTCCACAGGTTCAAAGTCGCTCAACGCGCTATGGAAAGGGCTATGCTCGGCGTTTCTCTGAAGGATCGCATCAGAAATGAGGTAATCCGGCAGAGAACCAGAGTTATCGACATAGCCTACCGGATTAGCAAGTTGAAGTGGCAGTGGGCTGGTCATATTTGTCGAAGAACCGATAACCGTTGGGGTAGACGAGTTCTGGAGTGGAGACCGCGTCTAGGCAAACGTAGTGTAGGACGTCCTCAGGCGCGATGGAGTGACGATTTGCGCAAGGTGGCTGGCCTATGTCCAGCAGTGGATTAAGATAGGCTGTTGATGATGATGATGAAGCCTACTTATCCTCAAAATACTCTGCAAGTGAATAATAGCATTTTTCTATTAATAATTTATGTAGACGACGTCTGAATAAGGACATAGGTAATGACTTTAATGGCTCAGGTAGATTGTTATATATTTTAATAACACTATTTGTATTTTTACTGTGTGACACAGCCAACGATATTAAATACCCTAGATTCACCACGAGTGCTCAAAATGTGTCCCAATCAAGAAGTGCTTGAACTCCACTCAAGCACTTCTTGGTTCACAGTCACACGCGGACCGTTACAAAGTCAAGATGCCACAGAGCTCCGCGAAAAAATGCGAAAATAATACTTAGAGTACGAAAAGTGTCGTTTTTTCGACTGGTATCTAGTCAATGTTTGTTAATTTAACTCATTTGAAGTAAATTTTGATCTTACACTTACTATAAACTAATTTAATATATAATATTTGTGATATTCAAATGCATATTCGGTTATACGTCGCCATATAGCCGTCACTTTTCCTCACGGTCCGTGTCTGCTATATTGCTAACTAAGGTCTAAATTCTTCCGCATATAGCAATAAGTCGTAAAATTTTACGAGCTTGCATTTCGAACTGTCAGAAGTCCTTGACGCATGCGTTTTATTTAAGATATATTAAAGGTTACATTCAATATTTAAATAATCCCTTATATTGATTTTGACTACGCGATCATCTTACGGAGCTCCGTGGATCATCAATGTACATTTTGGACAGGTTTCGGGCACGATTTTGTTCGTGTTGGTGTATCTAGGGTATTTAATATCGTTGGACACAGCAATCAAAATGCAGGTGAACAATTAATGTATAATTTCACACTATGTAATAAAAGGGGACTTCATGAATTATCTCTGAAGTCATTTTTCAACTTGAGGACTCTGCAAATAATAAAACAGGGAGAAAAAAACAGCCCTTGCTGAGTTTCTTACCGGTTCTTCTCAGTACAAGGTCTCCCGTCGTAGATTTACGAACCGATGGCGTAGCTTCTAGACATACAATTGCTTGTAATAGCCTAAACGGAATAAATGTTTTTGGTTATGATTATGATTTCACGGACATTGTAAAGCTATTTCTGCTACAAATTTCAGTTGTAGAGTCTGGTAAACACATTTTTTTGGATACCTAGTGTTAAAAGTACAGCAGTCTTTTTTAGTTTTATTAAAGTTAGGGTGCATTTTGACAAAGACACAGATTTCAAAAATATAAATACACGGAACTGTCAACAACTTATAAGACTTGAACAAAGGCCTGCAGGAAACCCAAGAGTCAACATTATCAATAGATATAATGCATTGTTTTTGTGCAATGAATAGTCTTTTACTTTTTACAGAATTATCCCATACTATTATGCCATACCTTATGTTCGAGGCTACATATCCGTGATATGCTTTCAGTGCGGTTTGAGTATTGCTTATTGCATCTAGACAAACGCCACAATGAATACGCAAATTTATTTATTTCGTTACACATTTTGTCAACATGTGCTTTCCAAGTACAGTGATTATCAAATTCTATACCTAAAAACGTCACTTGACTAGTTTCTGCGATTTTTTTGTTGTCTAAAGTAACATTTAGTTTCGCCTTTTTTGCATCTTTATTAGTAAATTGAATGATTTTAGTTTTTTTCTATCTTTACACTTAGGTTTTTACAATTTAACCAGTTAATAATGTCACTTTCAGTTGAATAAATTATGTCATTTAGATTTTTGACAGATTTATTACTTAAAACTACTGCAATGTCATCTGCATATAGTCAGCAAAAAAAAAATGTATTTTTTAGCAGATCGTTAATGTATAATATAAATAGTGGAGGGGCCATAATAGTACCCTGTGGTACGCCAACATTATTAGGAATTAGCCTTTACTAGAGACTAACTCATATACTGTGCTAAAGGAGATTGCTCAAATTGGCCCAAATGCACAAAAAATATTGGCATACACGGTTATTCTTGGCGTAATTTATAATTTAATTTACAGTCATTAGATTCCAACGGACACCTTTGTATAATATATTTACTTTAAAAAGGACTTTTAATTTTACCGGTTTGGAAAACATACGAATCATTTTTAATGGCTATGGGTGTAGTAACATTCAACCAAAGATTGATCGAAGTTGTTTATATAACATAAAAATAAATCTATTTGGTAAAGATCGATAAAATAAATCATTTTTTTATTACACTGTGGTCTACAACTATATAATCATTTTCACTACATGCAAATGTGGTCAGACAATTATTATAGATAGTAGGCGACATCATAAAGTCTATTGCCATACATTTTTCTCCAAACACCTCCATAAACACATTATAATCTGTATATATGTTAGACTTTAAGGTATCTATCTATGGGCCTACGTTCCCTGACTATAAATTAATAAATAAATAAAATTATAAGGTGTGATACACTAAAAATCTAAAATATGGTTATCTTAAAAACATAACAAAAATAATGAAGCTACTGAATATATGGCTATATAACCTAAATCTCTTAAATAAAACTAGTTTTTACGGGTTAATGCACGAAAACTTTATTTATTTATTGATTCTCTTAGCTTTTTTTGGTTAACGAGGGTTTAAATATTCTCTCTAATCTGTGGCTCATTCACAATCATCATGCTCTAAGCAATCATCACACAGTTTCTGTCACAGAGTACCTTATTATAACCGGAAATGAATAGATGAGACCTGATTTTAAAAGTAACTCTTATGCATTAACTTTAAAAACACGCAACTATCTGTTAATCTACATGCTCTATATACCTGAATGTAATCCATAATTTCGGTACTTGGCTTGATTTCCCTAGTTTACTGTATAATTTATTTGTTTTTTATTATTTTAATATGTTCAGTGTATATGGTTTATAGAAGTTCTCAGGGGTGTCGGTCAATAATATTCGTTTCTACAGTAATTTATATATAATTTCGAATCTAGGAAACAATTTTTCATGATTATTGGTCTTGAGGCCAAACATGTATGGAAGCTGAGCAATCTCTTTTTAAATAGTTCGACAGAGTACTTTATCTTTAGTCCTTTTTATCCTGTCAACTGTTAGAACGTACATTGGTTGGTGTTGTCAAGCCAATCGATCTCACCTTTTCCTCTGACTGACTTATTAATGGTAAAACTGAAACTATCGAACTAAAACTGTAAATAGTTAAAAGTTACTTTCATAGACTAAGCAGATCTAATGAAGGGATTTTTCGGAAATTCCACCTCTAAAGGAAATATAAGAATATTTTTATCAGTATTTTTTTTTGTTAAAAATATTCTTGAAGTTTATTTATAAGTCAAGCAACTTGAACTTTTGCATGTTTAGCCTATTTATAGGTTTTCTCTTTGTCCGAAAGTAAATGGGTGGTTATGACATAGATATTTAATTAAAAAACAAAGTTCATTCTGTACTGAATTTTAAGTGAGAGCTACAGCCATATCACATTATTAACTTTAATCGGTAACTTACCTGATTAAATACTCAAAATCGTCGCTGTGTATCTCAATATAAATACAATGAGGGCTATCGCGTCTGGAACCGCCGCTAGAGGCGCTTGTGTTGCGTGAGGTCTCCGAAATGTCAAATGTTATAGCTTGCGGGTTGACGACGCGGTTTTTTTCTAATTAAAATAATAGTTGTGAATATTTGGTAATAAATCAGACTTATTATGGCAAATATGAGTTACGTGTCAATGATTGTCAGTTATTTAAAAGCGGAGCTAAGAAAAAATATTGTCCTTCTTTTTTCCGAACAAAACGGGACTGCGCAACACTGTGGCATGGGCGATTATGTTTAAGATACGATTCTTTTGTATTAAAATGTAAACTTTGATATCACGAGCGTGTTTACTAACTTTAAAAGTTACACTTCAGGACCTCACTCAACAGTGGCGCCATCTAGTGAGACAAAAAACGATAGCCCTCATTGATTTAGTTTATGTGATGGATATATGACTGGATCAGCGATAAGTATACAGACCTTAGCTTGTAATGGATCTTTCTCACACCCTTCGAAGTTGGAAATTGAAATATGCTTTCAATTATGACTACAGTACGTGCGCGATCTGAGTGCAGCTTTCAGAAATGTGCTAAAACATAGCTCGAATTCCATACAATTCAGGCGTGCGTAGCGTGGTGCGGGTGGCGTATCTTATCGCCAACGTCAGTTTCTTTTGAAACTAAGCATTGCCCCTACCGGACGTAAGAACAAACTAGCTTTTTCCGTAGATAGATTCGTACCGATTCCTGCCACCAACTAACTTCCACAACTTTATTTATTTGTTTGTCTCATTCCGGCACTTCACATTTTGTAAACTTGGAATTGGAGCAGTCTCTCTGTTTCATTTCCCTTAAAGTATGATTACCTGTCATTATGACAAATATGTTGGCCATATAACACAATACAATGAACGGACTTTTTATTTTCAACAGTTACAACTCGAGCGATGGGTTCGGGCGAGTGGCGGATCAGCTCAACTTCGCGGCGGCGCCGTCGGAGGACGAGGGCGAGTACCCGCCCGGCGCCTACCTCAAGAAGGGGAAGGTCTCGAGGGCAAGTCCACTGAAATTGCCCATTTACCTTTTATGGGCGAAACGGACTTTTAAAACGCGACGCCACGCGTCGCGTGTTTATTCCAATCAAATGCATTAGGAAAATCCGACGCGACGCGATACGCACACACTGATCATAGAAAATACGCGTGGCGTGGCGTCGGGTGGCGGTGGCGTGGCGTTCAAAGGTCTGTTTCGGCCTGCTGTGCTGATATGGAGTGAGGGAGGGAGTTACCATTTCTATGCGCGTCCTGCGATATTTATTTTGCTTAACTTTCTCGTTACTGGGTGCTCTTTTAAGCGAAAGAATTTGCGCAGTGCGAATGTTATATCATAAAGTTGTATAGTTAGACATTATCTTACAATGCCTCGTCTGATACCCATAGGAGGCCCTTATATAGAATATCAGAAACATCTAAAGATCTTTTTTACTAGAAAAATATCTACGCGGACCAGGAAGCAGACAGGACTCGAACCCGCAGCCTTCACTATCCGGGCAGATCTACTGACCAATTATTTAAATTCTAGAAGAAATTCGACACGGCCATTAAATTCAGTGCATCCGCCCGAATAGCGGAGGGTGCGGGTTCGATTTCCTTCTGCTTTCTGGACCACGTGGATTTATTGCTAGTGATTTATTGTGATAATATTCTTTTAGAAGTATTGCAAATTAATAAATAGATTGATATAGGTATGGTTGATAGATACTATCCCTCACCTTCTAGAGTCTTAACTTTTGTTTAGAACTGATTGTTCTTTTTTGTTTGAAAAAAATACCAAAACAATAACGATATTTTTTCTGGTAATAGATATTTTCTATAGATTTAATCATCGAGCAGTTACATGCTTAAAATAAAAATTATATACCTACCTATAGCAAAACAATGTTTTTTATTGAATTTATTTATTTATACTTTATTGCACAAATGTGTGTTATAAGTGGCGGACCTAATGCCATTAGAAGAATTTTAGCAAAAATCTCAAGGTAGTGCAAAAAGAATTCATCAAATTACTGATTATATTTTTATATCTATGGAAACAAGATAATATATATATACTACATAAAATACATATCTACAAACATACATAAATAATAATATATTTACAGAGTGTTACAAAAATACAAATAAAGCTCGAAGGGCGTTGAAGTATATCAAAGGAGTCTTCTCAAATTTTTTTAAAATATTTGCATGAAGTTTTAACTTTTTAAAAAAACAGTTATTTTTAATGATCCTCGAACTAGTGACGTGTCTTAAAACGATCGATATTTTTATTAATCATTAAAAATAACTGTTTTTATAAAAAGTTAAAACTTCATGCAAATGTCTTAAGAAAATTAGAGAAGACTCCTTATATGATGTACTTCAACGCCCTTCAAGCTTTATTTGTATTTTTGTAACACCCTGTATAAATAACAATAAATATTTAGATATATATGTTACGCTCAAAGATCGAAAACGCTCAGTGAGCGGAAAAATAGCGCACGACGCGTTGTGGCAATCACAGAAAGACCAAATAGCGAAATTCGTGTCGTGGCTGACATGCTATTCGATCTCAACGCTGTTAGGCTCAGAGGTTTGACTAATAAAGAAATATACTTCACTTTTATCAGCTGTTTTATTATATTTTACTTTAATTAACATTAGGACTACGAGACACATGTGGACGCTATTCTAGCTGGAAACGGAAGGGGCTAGTGTTGCCATAATTCTACCTAACATCTTTCCTTTTACAAAACAAAGAAGGATAGCTTTACAATTTTATGCAACAGACCTATTTTGATTCTATAAACACTTTATTTTATTTTTTTAATATATTACAAAGAATGTTCACTATGGCTCAATGTTCTTAACCCAAACTTAGAGAAAAAAAAACAAACATTGATATTACTTTAAACTGACAGTGACATTTGATTACTTGACATTTCTTAAAAATATTAATGTGTTAATTACATATTTTATTTACTGAAGGCAGTTAAGTTTTTCTTTTTTCTAACAATTAGATACAATATCTATACGTAAGTTATTTAAATACAACAATCTCATAGCCAGGTTTTTCTCAACCTATTTATATTTACACAGATTGACTATTGGATAAATTAGTTAAGCATAACTATTCCTTTCTTCCTTATATAAACTGAAAATAAAACTAAATTTACTTATTTACTTAAATGAAAATGACTTTCATAGAAACATTATGTACTTATAACTAACTCAACAACAATGTTTACAGAGTATCTTATGATATATTTGTAATAATACATAGATACACATACCAAATGCAAACTATAATATCATATGACTGTAATAATGATTTTTAAATGTTTAGTCTTTCAGGTATTTTATAGGTACGCCCATATCTAGATTTTGATCTATCGCTGACAATAGGTAAATCAGATGTGGCTTTTAGTTCTGATGGTGACAACTTTAAATTACTATGGGCCTCTAAATTATCAAAATTGTCAATGGGATGAGATGGTTTCAAAATGTGTTGCCTATTTCTACGGAATATTCCTTCAGGACTGTTAATAACAAAACTACGAGGTTCTGGACCTACTTGTGAAATGATACCTGGAACCCAACAACTATTCGGTTTGTGTTTAAACAAGATATGATCACCTACAGACAATGGTTTTAAGTGTTTACTATTTTTATTATAATAAATGGACGATTTTAATTTTTGTTTTTCAATGTTATCCTTTAATTTATCATTATCTATTACTTTAAACTGCAAGTTATTTTCACTAATGGGGACTAGAGTTCTTAAGCTTCTCGACATACACAATTCTGAAGGTGAGTATTTACTGTACTTAGGTGTATTTCTATAAGATAATAGTGCTAAATATGGATCTGAATTATCAGCATGACATTTTTTTAACATATTTTTTATAGTTCCAACTGTTCTTTCCACCATTCCATTTGAACGACTTAAATAAGGACTGGATGTAATGTGTTCAATGTCCCAATTGTTTACAAAATTATTGAACTCTTTGCTACTAAATGGTGGACCATTATCAGAAATTAGAATATTTGGAATACCATGACGGGCAAAAATAGATTTTAATTGAGTAATTACAATACTTGCAGTGAAATTTGACTTTAAAATAGCAATTTCAACATATTTTGACATGTAGTCTACTACAATAAGATATTTATTGTTGTTAAAATCAAAAAAATCAATACCAACTTTATGCCATGGCAATAACTTATAATCATGATGGAGTACTGGTTCTTTACTATTATTTCTTCTATATGATAGACACACCCTGCATTTACCTACATATTTCTCAATATCAGTATACATTTGTGGCCAGTATACTGTTGTTTTAGCTAAACGGATACAGCTATTAATGCCTTGATGACCATTATGTATGAGCTCAAGAATAGACTGTCTTAATAACTCAGGAATTATAATGTTATCACCCTTAAAGACAATGTTATCTAAGACATGAATTTCAGTTTTAATTGCAAAATAAGGTTTAGTATCTTGACTGAGCAATCTCTTGTGCTCTGGCCATCCATTTTGACAGTAATTAATTAATTGACACAATGACTTATCTTTTAAAGTTAATTCTTGTATTTGTTTGAATTTTTTAGGACTGACTGACAGATTAGACATAAGTAAATTAACATGTAGATCCAAATCTTGATCAATATCGACTAATGATTGCTCTGGCAAAGCACTCCTTGACAAAGTGTCAGCTATATACAGATAACGACCAGGTTTATATACAATATTAATATCATATGGTTGTAATCTCAACATAATTCGCTGTAACCTAGGTGGTACATCCTGTAATGCTTTTTTAAATAAAGTTATTAATGGTTTATGATCTGTTTCTATGGTAAATTGCTTACCATAAATATATTGATGGAATTTTGTACAGCCATATAGTACTGCTAACAGCTCTTTTTCTATCTGGGAATAGTTTTGTTGACATTTGGTAAGACTTCCTGATGCATATGCTATTGGCTGTTTATCGTGTGACAAAACAGCTCCCATTGCATCTTTGGAAGCATCTACTGATAAAATAATGCTTTTATTAGGATCATAATATATAAGAACTGGAGCGGAACAGATTAAATTTTTTATAACTTGAAATTCAGACTCATGCTGTTCAGTCCAATTCCAAACTACATTTTTTGAAAGAAGAGATCGCATATTTGTTGTCTCTTGTGACAAATTTTTAATAAATGGACCTAAATAATTCACCATACCCATAAATCGCTGCAATTCTGTGACAGTGGTGGGACTACGCATTTTACAAATAGCTTCTACTTTGGTTTTATCCATTTTGATTCCCTCAGAATTAAAAACATGACCTAGATACCTAACTTCTTGCTGGCAAAGTTTTGACTTTTCCTTATTGAATTTAATGTTACAGTCTCGCGCCTTGTTTAAAACTTTTTCTAATCGTTCATTATGTTCAGCCAGCGTACTGCCATAACACAAAAAATCATCCATCATTATTTCAACTCCCTCTATGTCTTTAAACCTTTTTACCATCTCGCTATGAAATATCTCAGGCGCTGCATTGATACCAAAGGGGAGACGAGTGAACCTATACCTGCCGAAGGGTGTTATAAAAGTACATAGCTTTGAAGATTTTTCAGACAAAGGAAGCATCCAATACCCTTTATTTGCATCTAATGTTGAAAAATACTTAGCACCTTGAAGCTTTGACTTGATTTCGTCTAAGGTAGGGAATTGATAATGAGGTCTCATTATAGCTTTGTTTAACTTTCTGGTATCCATACACACTCTCATTTGACCATTCTTTTTAGAAACCATTACTAATGGACTTACCCATGGTGTTGGCTCTGCTATGGGACATATCACACCATTTTTTTCCATGTTACTCAGTTCTTTTTTTAGTGCATTTTGCAGGTTGAATGGGACTCTTCTACAAACATCAACAGATGGTGTGACATCTGGCTTCAAGGTAAAATTGCACTCAAAATCTGTCAAGCAACCCAAACCATCAAAAAGATC